CAAATCCTCGATAATCCTAGAATCAATAAACACGTAGTTAATAGATCGATCCTGTGCAGTACTAAACTGGTTGATATTCCAAGAAAATTACCACTCGTTATCAATAACTCGTAGATAAATTTCTGGTCGTCGACGAGCTATAAAAAACGTTTTAAACCGTCTTAAACGAATAATGAAGTTACGTCACCGTTCGTGGGGTGTTCCAGGGTGGGGATTTATCCCTGGGGTGGGGATTTGTGCAGTGTGCGGTCGCGAGTTTAGTTGGACACGGGTTTGAGAGTCACAACGGACGGTGTACCGTGAATTGTATCTCATAAAAAAAAATTAAATAACAAAAAAAAAAACTCCCTCAAGTGCGAATGCCATAAAAACCCGAGGACTCGAGGGGTGAAATTCCCCGGATTGTGACAATCATGAGGACAACTTTATCAATAACTAAATTTGTACCCTAGAGTAGCAGATTAATACCTAACGGAATATTCAGACTAGCTCCGAGGACTAGACTGATAACAACGAATTACGTAAAAATTATTTCAAACGTGCGGGAGTTGAGGGGAAGGAGACCATTGGGGTCTCGTTCTCCAGGATCAGATCATGGGAAAGGGATACAAACGAAAAACACGATGGAGAACACTGAATATTGCCGGTAAGTAATCATCGACTTGAGAATTACTTGACTTATTCAGTAATTAATCCCTTTAATCCACTCAATCCCCTGAGGATGGCTCGCACGTTTTCTCGATTTTTCTTTTTCGTTTTTCCATTACGTCACAGCCTCTTAGGATCGACGACCGCCTTCATGATCCTAAAGAGAATTCCTCTTTTTTTCGAGCACTAAAAAAAAATATGTAACAGTAAATAATAATTGAAATATTCCAGAGAAAATCTGGGATTGTAAATAAGTGTTGGTGATGGTAGTAATTGATGAAGAGAGGGAATGAATGGAATAATAATGAAAATGAGGGAAGTGAGGGGGGGTTAATGGAAATAATGGTAAAAATAGTGGTGAATCTGGTTCGATGGTCGTCCTCTAGGTAAAATGCAGAGGGTAAAGCCTCGAGGGTAAAAATTGAACACGAGAAACAGGGAGGGATAAAGAGTATCCCCCGATGGATTTTTACTGTCTCCCTTGCACCGCTGAGTGCGACTGAGGATCGATCCACACACACATAACCCTGGGCCAAAGGAAGAGGGTAAAAAATAAGTGAGACAGAAGCCCCTCCAGAAGTATTTCCACACCTGTCTTAAACCATCGAAAAATCATCTCTCCAGCCTTTGCCCTCAGTTCAATCGCTCATTCAGAATGAACTTTGCACCACTCACCACTCCACCACTCCATTATCTCCAATTAACACTTTTTTTATTCCTCATTTGCTTTTCAATCGTCAAGAGAATGGCCCCGTATCATCAATTATCGATTGACAATTCATTGCTGGAAATAACAAATGAAAAATTATTCCAAGACAATCGTTCGTACAATCGTTCACCTACTCACCATAATCATCATCATCATCTGCTGTTTCTATTTCATCATTCACCTGGGGATATCATGAAGTCGTTCAATTTCAAGGATTGGAAAATGAATAATCCAAGAAATGTATCGAGAGTGCACGAGGTCGAATCGATATGCGTGTTGGAGTTTGCGAGAGTCAAGACAACTTCAACTATAGACCATCGAGAATAGTTTATGACAATTGGACATGTGGCAAGGGAAAAAAAAATGAAAGAATTTATAATAAATGTTGGGCTTGGGGCCAATGCACTCTCTTCACAAAGTTTGAGGTTATAAGCAACCAAGTATGCAATGGTAAAAGCCAGTATTACGTAATACTTGAGAAATATTTTTTTCTTTCAATGACCTCAACACCTCACGAATGACCCCTGTTCTTGAAAATACATCATTGAAATTATCTAGGAATTGTTTTTAAGGGATAATACGTCGAGACGGACGAGCAAATGGGGCGTGTCTTGTTATTGGTCTCGTGACATTTAATTTTTTACTTTTTTACTCTAGGACTTGAGGCAATTATTTATTATTTATACCAGGGTTGGGGATCGCTCTTCATTGTACGCTTGATGATTTCGTTTAATGGAGTACACAGTTATCTGGAGATCTTAATTAAGATTTTATATTCTTTTCTATTTTTGTATTTTTGATGAGGCAATTTTATTTCAATTCGAAATTTTCTTGTGCCAGAATAATTATTCGGATAAATCCAATTGCGTTTAAGTATCGTTTGAATGATATAATTAATTATTCCAGAATTTTTAATGAAAATAAAAAATAAAATGAGATAAAATTGAAAAATCACTGAAAAATTGAGGATCAAACGGTCAAAGCCCTTATATATTTATTAATTATAGATTTATATATTCAAAATTAATAACTGCCAAAAAAATTTCTGTCTTCCATAAAGAATAATGTTGCATTCCAAATTTGTTATAAATTTAGTTACCTACAATTATAGTTATCATTTAGTTTGAATATTTAGAAATAGTTAAAATTGAAATGTGTGAATTTTTTTATTAATAAATTAAGTTGGGAAAAGTAATTTTTTTCGCTGGTGTATCTCTTGGTCATTCATTCAGCACTGGTATCACGTGTTATTCATAAATATCTGGGTTGATATACATACGCATGCACGCAATAATACGCGTTATATTCGTATTTTTGGCCGAAAGAAGAATTAAATGTGTCTCCTCTTTTTATCAACTCCAACGCGCAGTGCATTGCACAATACTCTTGTTGCTATTTTTTACTAGTCGAATCGATGGGTAATGAAGAGCTTTATTATACATTAGACTGTGGAGTCAAGAACCCCATGGCAAATTTCCGGGTTCTCTAGATTGTCATTTTCCCAACATCAATATCAGCTGTTTTATCCTCAGTTCATCGGAATACCTTTTTATTACGATAACTATTAGTTTCAGGACAGAATACCAGAAGATCTTTTTTGTAGGGAATTTAATCAGCTACAAAAAAGTTCTCTATGTATTTCCTCTCAAGTCGATGATTTTCGAGATACATCATTTTTATGATAAGTCGGTAATGATTTGCTAGCGTGACAACTGAAATTTTCGGTTTTCCAAATGTCACTGCATCGGGGAAACTATTGGTTTTGATAAAAAATGTGATAAGACCGTTTTTGTAGGGAATTTAATTAGCTAGAAAAAAGGTA